GTAGCTGCACGTTTATAGTAATAGATTCTACCTAAGTTAATAAAAATAAAATCTCTTTCTAAATTAAAAAGAAACTTTTTTAAGTATCTCTAGCTAACGCGTTATTAATTAAATATAGTAGAAAAAAAATTTAACTTAAAACTAAAAAAACTAATTATAAAAACTAAAGATATAAACAACTAAATATTATTTAGTATACTACTACTTAAAAGAAAATACTAAGTTATACTAAGATATAACTAGCTTTATAAACATAACTTTAAAATTAACTAGTAAATAATAATAATACAACCTAAATCTAAGCATACGCAGGGAGCATTATTAGTAAGCTATAAGGATAACTATCTAGCACATATATAAACTAGGCAAGGATTAGACTACCTCTAGAAGAAAATAGAACCTTAGAAATTCTCTTACTAGGAACTAGAAGCACACGCTGTCTGCATAATAAAGGAAAAACTAAAGAAAATCTCTTTTAAAGAATTTAAGAAAGAAAGAGACTTAGACTAGGTAGAAATCTACTAAATTATAAAAGAACCTAGAAAAGAATTACTAAAAGAATACTACAGCTATAAAGACATGTTTATAACCCTAGAGGACCTAAAAGAACTTCCCCTGCAGTAACTCTAAGACTATGTAATTAACTTTAAACTTAACCCCTAGCTAAAAATACATAAGCTGCGCCCTCTTACAGCAGCTTAGAAGGAAGCACTATAAGAATATGTAGACTACATGCTAGCAAAAGGCTACATTTAAGAAAGTAAGAGCCTAGTAGCCTTAGCAGTAGTCTTTGTAAAAAAGAAAAATAGAAAAGTTAGAGTTTACTAGAACTACTAAACTCTAAACAAAAACACTATAAAAGATTAGTTCTCTCTTTTTATTATCTAAGATATTATAAACTAATTAAAAGAAACTACACACTTTATAAAGTTTAATGTCTAGAATAAATTTAATATAAAAAAAAAGACATAAATAGATAACAGCTTTTAAAACCTTATAAGCCTTTTATAAGCTTTTTATTATGCTATTTAGGCTTACTAACACTTTTATAACCTTCTAAAGAGTAATTAACACTGCACTTAACCTATATCTAGATATCTTTGTTCTAGTCTACCTAGACAATATTTTTATCTACACAAAAGAAGATAAACTAGACTATGTAGCAAAAGTACAACTAGTGCTAGATAAACTTTAAAAATACAGACTCAATTTATAGCTAGAAAAATGCAAGTTTAATATATAAAAAACTAACTACTTTAGATTTATTATTAATAGAAAAAAGATAAAAATAGACCCTACTAAAGTAAATAAGGTACTTAAATAGCTAATACTAGAAACTATTACAGAAATTAAAGAATTTCTTAGCCTTACTAGGTACATATAAAGAATAATTAAGAATTACTTAAAGATTACACTGCCTCTTACAGACGCTACTTTAAAAGAACAATCTACTTAAAAATTTCTATAAATAATAGAAATAAAGAATGCCTTTTAGAAACTAAAATAAATTATAACAAGTTACCCTATTCTTAGAATGTATAACTTTACGCTAGAAATAAAAATACATACTAATGCTTTTTTAAGAGCAGAAGAGGCAGCACTCTCTTAAAAACAAAAAAATAGTTAATAGCACCTTATAGCCTACTATTTAGCAAAATTTGCACTATTAGAATAAAAATACACTATCTCTAATAAAAAATTAAAAGCTATAGTTAATGCATGTAGAAACTAGAAAGTTAAGCTTTAAAGTCTTAGTTAATAATTTATAATTTTTACTAACTATGTAAACCTTATTACTTTTTTTACTACTAAAAAACTCTTACTAATGCATGTATAATAGGCTATAGAACTAGCTTAATTTAACTTTGTTATTAAACATATAGTAAAAAGTAGCAACTAATAAGTAGACGCTCTTAGCTAACATTTTAACTACTTTAAAAAGAATAAAGAAAACTCTAAAGAATTTGCAATTTTTAAAAAAACTCTAAAAAGCCTAGTCTATAAAGAACTAAACTAAGAAAAACTACTATGTTCTTTTATAATAGTTAAATAAAGATAACAAAACTTAATAAAAGAATATTACAAAGCCTCTATGTTTAGACACCTTAGAATTAGATTACTACAAAAAAAATTAAAAATGCTATACTATAGGAAGTGCCCTAACTAAAGCATTTATGCACTAAAGTCTTGTAGGAATGTAACATCTATAACAAAAATAACCTATAATAATATAAACCTTATAAACTACTTTAACTAATTACAGCACTAAGTTAACTATAGACTATAATAACTATAGATTTTATTACTAAACTACTACTATTATAGGAACCTAGTATAAAAAGACTTTATAACATAATTACATAAGTTATTAATAAGACTATAAAGTTTGTCTACTTATAGCCTTTAAAGAAAAGCATTATAGCTAAAGAATTTATGTTTAAACTAAAGAAGAATGTCTTAGCTACTTATAGCTGCCTAAAGACTATTATCTTTAATAAAGACAAGCTATTTATAAGTAAATACTAAGCAGCTATAGTTAAACACTTAGGAATTAATTATAAGCTCTTTACTACTTATTATTTATAAATAGACAGATAAATAGAATAAGTAAACATAGAAGTAGAAAAATATCTGTAAAAGTATGTGTTATATAAACAAGATAATTAGGCAGAATAGCTACTAATAGCACAGCTTATAATTAATACTATAGAATTAGCTATAACTAAGGAAACTCTGTATAAGGCTAACTTTAAATATTCTCTATAATATAAGCTTCTTAGCACATAGCTAACAGACCCCCTAGAAGCTACAGATTAAACTACTAAACTTTTAAAACTATATTAAAAACTAACTAGAAAAGCATAGTTAGCTTAAGATGCTATAAAAAAAGTAGTAGACTAGAAACGCTAACTAGCACTAGAAATCTACCTAAATAACTATGTATACTTAGACATAAAGAATCTTAAAACACTAAGGCTCTTTAGAAAGCTTGCTAAAAAACATATAAGACTTTATAAAGTTATATAAACATGTTCTAGCATTTACAAACTTAAGCTACTTAAAGAAATAAAAATACACCCCTAGTTCTACGTCTTTAAGCTTAAACTTATGCCTAAGACTATTCTGCTAGCAACTACTAGATAGAAGGAAGAAGAAAAAAAAATATAAAGTAGAATAGATTTTAGACTACTAAAAAAACAAGTACCTAGTTAAATAGAAAAGATAGCCTACTAGTAAAAGTACTTAAGAACTTATTAGAAGTTTATTAAACACCTCTTTAGTTTTTTATAAATACTTAGAGTCTCTTCTAGTTAAAACTATCCTAGGGAAAGCTTCCTAGTCTAAAAAACATTATTACTAGTTAAAACCACAGCAGCATTAGATAGCTGCGATGTAGGAGGCCTACAACTCTTTAACATAGGCTGTAGAGAAGGAAGACCTACAGCTTTTGCCTTAAGCGCTTTAAGCTTATCTAAGGATAAAAAGTCTTTTTCTAAATACTTTACCCTTTAATCTACTAAGAAGTTAAGCTGCTTTTACGCCTAGTTTTAATAAGCATCTAAAAATTAAAGCTTTAACACCTAAGAAGCCTAATAAGCAGTATAATAAGCCTACTTTTTAAGAAAACTCTTACACTTCTTTTACTCTTGCTGCTAAACATCTCTTATTTTTTTTAAAAGCCTTTTATGTTCCTGCTCTAGATAATTTTAAGCTGTGTCTAAAATAAACATGTTATAATAACTCCTTTTTTTTTTAAACATTCTACGCACTTATCTAATAACAAGGTTATTACATAGAAAGAACTGCTTAAATAGCAAAGACTATAAAGACACATCTTTGTATAGTAAAAAGGATTAAGATAAGTAACAGTGCAAAGACAGTAGGCAATAGCAGAAGGATAAGAACGCTAACAGGGCATAGTTAAAACAGATAGACATTTAAAAAGCTTACATAAAAGGGCACCTACTAATTAAAAGGAAATTTTAACACTTAGAATAATGTAAGCATAACAGTAAGAACGCTAACTAAAAGAGGACGCTGTGTGTTACAACCTATAATTAGACTATAAGCAACTAATTAGCAGTGCCTTATAGTTTAAACAACTAAGAATAGAAAGTTTTTAAGCCTATTTTAGACAAGTTATGTGACAGAACAGATAAGAAATAGCTTTAGCTTTTAGATAAATGCATAGAAGGATGTGTTATCTAATAGGAAAGGTTACCTTGCATGTATAGGCATGCAAGTAAATGCACACTAATAAGTCTTAGTATAAGCATGCAAGCGCCTGCAATTGCATGCTACTAAATGTATATAGTTTTAATTACGCCTATAGTTAAAAGGCTATAATTACTATTTAGTCTTTACCTACTTAATAGACTAAGAGGCATTAAAACCTTTATAAAAAGGACATTGCTGCCTTGTATATTTTACACTATATATACCTTCTTTTCTATCTTTTTAGATTAGGTTTGCTAGCTCCCTATACAGCTGCTAGGCTAAACTACAACCTACCTTCCTAATCCCCGCCTCACCTATACTCTGCTTGACGGACTGTACACCTGATCCAGCTAAGTCCTTCCCCTTCTCTCTAACATCATCATAGGCTGTAGTGCTCCCGAAAATACCATTTCAACGGAGCAAGGATTGTAACAACTATTTATATAACGTACTTCACAGGCGAGTTGCTTACACACCTAAGTTACTTACTTTTACTAAGACTCTACTAAACTACTCTTTCTACACTAATGCATTCCTAATAACACTACTTAAATGTGCTAAAAGAATATTAAATATAGCTTATACTTTAAGCTTTTAAATAAAATATAAAACTCTTAAAGAAACATACTGCAGCTATATATAAAGTCCTTTAAAAGATAATAAATAACTATAGCACTACAAAAAGCCTACCAACAGATCCTGCAAGCAGGCTTAAAATTAGCATTAAAGGCGTAAGCGCTAGGGGCCAACCATTCTTAGTATGGCTGCGGAACACCGGCGAGATGGTGGTTTTTAGGATGAACACTCTGGTGGACATGTTGGAGAACCTCGATATACACGATCCTTCACACCGTACGAGGAGATGGATTCACCACTCAGCGTGGACACATCGGCGAGCGTCTTATACAACGGATGTGCTGGAGATGTTAGCAAAAAGGCGCGGACAGGCTAAGAACGACGAGACTAATAAAGACGAAGGTGCTTAAACGGCGTGTCTGTATATCCCATGCACTACGGCTATCAAGCTTTCGGTTCGCAGTCAATCAGAAGCTGGGTTTGAGTTTCAATAAGGCTCTGAGCAAATCACAGCGAGAGCTGATGCCAAGATTTTGCCAGAGATAAACTGTCCTCTCATGGTTGTGAAACATCCGGATATAAGCCGCTATCTTAGCAATGCGCCCACCATACAAAAACCTATACAAAACGCATTGTATGTATGAAATTGGTATCGGAGAGGTCGAATAGATATATTTTGAGCTGCAAAATTGTATACAGAGCCTGTATATACAGGAAATCTTAGTGTTAAGCGCTCATGGCGCGCTTCGGCTTATATCCGGCATGTTTAGCGACCATGAGAGGCTGTCCAAGAAAAAAAAATTTTGTCCCGTGCCAGACTCGAACTGGCGGCCTGTGAAGGATATCAGTATTTCACTATGGCAGGGGTTACTTTGATATTTCTAGAAGCTTACCTTGGGATATCTGCTCTGAGAGCAGTCACAGAATTCTATGAGACCCACGTGATAACCAACTACACCAACGAGACGTCTTAGTTGTCTTGATGACTGTTTTGTGTGGTTAAAGTCTAATATACGTTGTAAAAAGAAAAAGCCCTCTTGTGGCTCAGACTTCAGCCGCCAGGCAGCAGCAGGTATCTCTAGGAACCAGCGCAGGCACCCACCCCGCGTCGCACACACGTGGTTCAGCACGCCCCCATTCGCCAATACCGTGGTTTATCGCTTGGCGCACACTCTCGCGTAACGCACACTTTTCAGACTAGAACACCCCATCACTTTTAAGACTATAGAACTGCACACATAAAATATTTTAACCTAATCTTTTGCAGCAGCAATCTTAGAGGCTTATAGTATGAATTAGCAACGATAAAATAGGTGCGATATCGCTCTGGCTGCTTGACCCTGCGGCCACATCGCTAGAGCGTGGTCGCAGGCACCTCCTCAATAATTGGCGATATATCTGCATCAACCCTCCCAGGTTCCTTGGGGGGCTTGGGAGCCTTTCTCTTACCATTTTTTAAGTGATTTAATATGGTACTTAAGCAGATTCTTAGACTGGCGAGCTATCTTAACTTTCTTGCGCGCAGCGACTTTTTGTTGATGCTCTTGCAATCGAACTTCCTTCTCGATGGGCATCCAGTATCGATTCTCTGCGCAAATATGTTGACCCTACTTTTCAGTATACCCTATACTTTGATCTTCTGCAGCGAAAAATTGAGTAATGCAAGGTAGTGGCTCAGAATACACACAATATGGACGAGAGAGGCTTCCTGTGACGGGTTAGACCCCGATGGTCACTCGGTGGAACCTTCGGATATCGTCGGCACGCCATCACATACCGACATACCCACAACAGGCAACTATCGCGACGTGCCCCACGACAAGCAACCATCGTGACATGCCTAGGCCAGACAATCCTTGTATAGTGGCATTCAGTCTGGTCACGGGAGAGACTCAGTCAGGAACATAAATACGGCGCTTATCACAGAGTTAGTTCACTATCGAATACAATCTTGTTACCTTGCACCTGCACCCTGTGCGTAGCCCATTACACTTCCCTCATTGAGAGACTGGCAAAGATGTGGACGATATCTCCTCGGCACCTCAATAAAGAGGGGGGACATCAAGCAGAAGCTCTAGGATGCTAATCACGAGTATATGAGGACGATAACCTGTATGCGCGCTGACGGAACGTCTCTTACTCCTGCATTGATCTATCAAGTGATTCCTAGCAGCGAACAAGACACCCCGCTACGGGATTTTGACCCTAATAAGCATTAGACCTTCTTTACTTCGTCACCATTTAGACGGTCTAATAACGAGATAGGCCTACCATGGCTAGAACAGGTATTCGATTGGAAGACGAAAGCGGTGGGCGCCAGAGAGAGGCGGGAGCAGAAGGAGGCTGAGGAAAAGGTGTAACGGCGCAGGCAAGACAATGGGTCCGAATGCGGTATGAATCCACTCAGAGGCATATGGAAGTGCGTGGGGACTCAGAGACCTGGGAATACCAATGACACCTATAGGCCTTGTACGTAGGATATCAGAAAACTACCGAGCTAGCTACGGGGGCGAGGTGCGACTAAATACATGAGGGAATAGGGGTAACAGCAGGGGGCCGGGCAGAGTCGAGTCAGGGTCGAGCCAGGGTCGGAGCCGATACGGAGACCCTTCGGATAGGTTCCGGGCGACCCGAGATGGAACGATTCATGAGAATCGTTACAAAAGGCAGTTCAACAGAAAAAGGATAAGCAGGCCTAGCGTAAAGAGCTGGATAGGAAGGAGAAGGCTCCCATGCCCGAGGAGAGGCGTTGGCTGAGACTAGTAGCGAAGGAAGCTTAATTACAAGAGCAGCAACAAAAAGTCGCTGCGCGCAAGGAAGTTAAGATAGCTCGCCAGTCTAAGAAGCTCCTTTAAGGACTATATTAAATTACTTAAAAATGGTAAGAGGAAGGCTCCTAAACTCCCTAAGGAACCTGGGAGGGTTGATGCAGATATATCGCCAATTACCGAGGAGGTGCCTGTAACCAGGCTCTCGTGGCATGGCCGCAAGGTCAAGCAGCCAGAGCGATATCGCACCTATTTTATTGTTGCTAATTTATACTATAAGCCTCTAAAATTGCTGCTGCAAAAAATTAGATTAAAATATTATATATATGCTGTTCTATAGTCTTAAAAGTAATAGGGTGTTCTAGTTTAAAAAGTGTGCGTTACGTGAGAGTAAGCGCTAAGCGATTTGTTGTGTGCGAAATTTGCTGTTGTCGTGTGCGAAATTTGCTGGATTCTTGGCAATGCCAAGTAACCACTTTTCCCTCACAAATCTCATAGAGATTCAGGTAACTGCACATATCGCTCTATATAAAGTAATATAACATAAGATATTATTTAGAGTCTACTTCTACTACTTTTTTATATGTATGTAAGTTATGCCTAGTCTAATTACACTACTTATATTACTTTTAACTTAGCTTACTTTTTTTAGCGCGCACTTATGTCTTTAGCTTCTTCCTATTACTACACGCTCTAAACTCCTTTAAAGTAGTTAAATAAGCTTTATTCTTAACTATTAAAGTTTTTTTTACTTAAATTTACTTTTTTTTATGTAATCTATATTATATAGCAGCCTTATTTACTGCTTAAAGCTTTGTAATCTTCTTTTACACTAACACTAGCTTATGTGTAATAATTACTGCCCTTTTTAAAACTTTCTTAAAGGCCTTTACTATAGACATTAGTAAGCTATCTACATACTTTTAAATTTTTAGCTTTATAAGTATTAATTATAACCTAAATTTAAAAGTATTACTTAAGGTTTATAACTACTAGGGCTTATTATTAATAAGTAGTAGTAGTAATAAAGTACATAACTAAATATTAAAGGCTATTTTAACTTATTTTAAGTTAAATAAGACTAAACTAGCGCCTTAAAACTCTTTTTAGATATTACTAAAAGTAATTACTACATTATAAGCATGTATAAAGCATAGTAAGAACTTAAGTTTTATAATATAAGTAATCTAGTTACACATAAGATTTTTAGCTTAGCACTTATACACTTTTTTTAAAGAGGTAAAATAACCTATATTAAAAAGCTATAAAAAGTGTAATAAGTGTAAAAGCATATAAATAGTAATAATTTTATTCTTCTTATAGTACTACTAGAAATTAAGTAAGTTATAGCTTTTATAGCTATTAATAATAAAAAGCTAATAAGCGCTTATAACTTTTTTTTATATACTTATTAAAGTGCTTTAACTACTATAGCCTAAGCTTATTTATTATCTAGCTGTTTTTAAAGACTATAATAACCTAGTTCTAAAGCAGATTCTTCTTTTTATACTAGGCAAAGAAGTAATAGCAGCCTTTAAAAATAATAAAAAGTAAAATAGCCTACTTTATTATATTAATGCTTTAAATAACTATTATCTACTTTTTATTACTTTACTATATTACCTTTAGCTATTTTTATTTTTTTAAAGCTATAACAACTGCTCTAGTTAATATCTAGCTTATTATAAAGCTTAACTTATTAAAGTTATACATGTTTTTATTTTAAATACTATACTTAGCTTTTATATTAGCTACTAGATAAAACTAGCTTTAAATAACTTTTAAATTTTTATAAAGCGCTTTTTTATAATTATACTTATAATTAAACTTTATTATAAACTTAAAGCAGTGCTTAACTTACATACTAGGCTAGTTTAAGCTAAGCTAGCCTAGATTACGCTCTGCGTGTAAGAAATTAGCTATATTAGCTATAGCTATAAGCTTAAAAAAATCTGTGTATAATAAGCTTAAGTATATACTTAATAACTATTTTTTTAAGCTTAGTTAGATTTCTTAATTTAGGCTAGCATTCTACTTATAAAGGCTGTCTAGCGCGTTAATTACTTAGTGTTATGTAAAAGATATTATAAATAGCTACAGTGTGTTATAAAAAAAGTTTTAAGTCTTATTTAAAAGCTTAAAAAGTAAGCTGTATCTAATATTCTTTAGAAGATTTAATCTAGTGTTGTTGTTAAGGCATTATGTAGATAGGTAGAGTGTGGTAGGGGCTTAGCAAAAGTAGCTGGCTAACCTGTGTAGCCAGCCAACCTGTTAGGTATGTTATATAGTGTAAGATATATAATTAGTATTACTTTTATTATAAAGTAGCAAAGCTACTTAGTTTATATAATAATAAACTAAACTTTAATTATAACCTTCTATAACAGTTAAGATCTAAACTATATACATAGAGTTGCGCATTATTAAGTGCTGTTAAGCGCTCTCTAACAGCAATTCCTTACTGCGCGTAATAGCGCTTACTTGCGCTTAAACGTTCTTTACGTATTAAACAATGCATTTAGCTGTGCATTAGTCTAGTAGCTCTGTCTATTCCTTGTCTGTTAGGTCACGTGTTCTTTTAGCTGGAATGATTAGAGAATTCCAGCCTTGTTTGTTCAAACAGTGGAGCTTCTGTAGTAGGTAGCTTACAATCCAATCGTGGGTTGTAACAGCTAACTACTCCCTGTATAAAATTTTATAAATATAGGCCTCTAAGGTATAAAGTTAATCTATACATTTTCTAGTAAAAGATCTAAGTTAATGTACTTTTAAATATGCTTTTTACTTATTTTTATTTTAATATAACTAAACTAAGGCTTTTAGTTAATGTACTTCACAGGCGAGTTGCCTACACACCTAAGTTGCTTACTTTTACTAAGACCCTACTAAACTACTTTTTTTACACTAATGCATTCCTAACAACACTACTTAGACACGCTAAAAGAACGTAAGATATAGTTTACACTCTAAACTTTTAAATAAGACATAAAACTCTTAAAGAAACATGCTATAGCTATGTATAAAGTTCTATAAATAATAATAAATAACTATAGCACTAGACAACCTTTACAAGCTAATTCTACAGCTAACTTATAAAGGCTATGTAATAAAAATAAGCAGGTAATTGTTAAGACTATACTTAAGCTATATGCGCAAAGATTTTCCTCTTAGATAGCATTTATAGCTAATATAGCTAATTCTTTGCGTGCTAAGTAAAATCTAGGCTATATTAGCATAAACTAGCCTAGTACATTTATAAAGTGTTATTTAAAGCTTAAAGTAAAGTTTTAAGCGCAAGTATAGTTAATAGATGTTTAGCTTATTATAAAGCCTATCTTACTAAAGTTGTACGTGTTATTATTTTAGATGCTATGCTTAGCTTTAATATTCTCTATAAGGCTAAACCTGCCCTAAATTACTCTAGGACTCTTGTAGAAAGCTCTCTTATAGTTATACTTACACTTAAATGTTACTTTAAGCTCTAAATAACGCTTTACAAACATACTAGGCTAGTTTATGCTAACATAGCCTAGATTTTGCTTAGCGCGCAAAGAATTAGCTATATTAGCTATAAATGCTATCTAAGAGGAAAATTCTCACGCATATAGCTTAAGTATAGTCTTAATAATTACCTACTTGTTTTTATTATATAGCCTTTATAAGTTAGCTATAGAATTAGCTTGTAAAGGTTATCTAGCGCTGTAGTTATTTATTATTATTTATAAGACCCTGTACGTAGCTATAGCACGTTTCTTTAAAAGTTTTATGTCTTATTTAAAAGTTTAAAGTGTAAACTATATCTTACATTCTTTTAGCGCATCTAAGTAGTGTTGTTAGGAATGCATTAGTGTAGGAAGAGTAGTTTAGTAGGGTCTTAGTAAAAGTAAGCAACTTAGGTGTGTGAGCAACTTGCCTGTGAAGTACGTTACTGTTTTTAGTAAGCTATATAAAAACATTAATAGCTAAAGTTATCTTAGAGTATGTTAATAAAGTAAAAAGTTGCTTATATAAATTAAGTAAGTCTTCTATTTATTAAATAGTCTTAGTTTAGTAGGCTGCGCCTAGTAAACTATACTTAGTATAGATAGAAAGTTATTGTTTAGTTACTTAGGCTTAGCTAGTAAGTAAGCTGTAATTAGTATATATTAAAGTTTATAGAGCCTCTATTAGCTAAATGCAAAAGCTTAATCTGTAGTGGTAACTATAGTACTAGTTAGAAGCGTAACTCTAGGCCTATCACTCTTACATAAGCTAAGAAGGGGTTATAGAGTAGGCAAGTTAACTAGGTATTAAGATCTAAACAAGGTAAGTTAAACTAGTGTAGTATAAGGTCTAAGGAGCTTAAGAGAGCTCTAGCCTGACTATATACTGTACAAGAAAGGAGCTGGTCCTGATGAGTGAATAGCGCAGTACATGGGTATGGTATCGCGTGAGACACGTGCGACAATTCCGACTCCCTGATCTAGTCCCTGATCTAGTGGGTTGGCTGCAGCGGAACGGCGTTTTGTGAAGAAGAAGAACGCTCCTGCGCCTATCAAGCCGAGGAAGACGAGGGCTCCCGTAACCGCGCCGCCAATGATCGGTGCACTGCTAGGTTTGGCTAGTGTGGTATTAGTTTCTGCGAAGCTTTTAGAATGGCAGTGAAAAGCTTTGGGGTGTTGGAACGCACGTTTTGGGGGCGCAGCGGACGAAGACACCGCACTCGATGAGAATGTCGCAAACGAGGATAATGCACTCGAAGAGCGCGAACAAACGACGAACTTATACTTGACGTCTTCGAAACAGAAGAGAGTGCGATGGACCCACTATCCGTCAAGACAGGAAGCGTGAAGAGCGCCAAGTCCAATCCTTTTGGGAGATTTACCGCTGACACGAAGGATACTAGATCCCAAGGGCTCTCCATTACAGTTAATGTATTTGCTGGGAACTTGTCAGCAGCAGATTCAAAGACTAGATTAGTAATACAGTACGTGACGCTATATCACGATTAAAGGGCGACTTGGACCATATGACTCCTTTATGGTGGGCCGCCTACAAAGGTTACCCGGAGGTAGACAAGGTGCTCGTCGATACGGGCAAGGTCAAACTCGACGAGAAGGACGGATATCTTGTGACTCCATTTTACTGGGCTGCCCAAAATGGCCACGACGCTGTCGTTGATTTACTGCTACAGAATGGCAAGGTCGATGTCAACGTGAAGGATAAGATGCGTCGCACATCGCTATCCTTGGCCGCCAGGAATGGGGAAGAAGCTTTGGTTCAGTGTGTCCAACCGTTAGTACACCTAATAGTACAGTACTGCAGTACACTGATTTTGATCACGTACGTACGTACAGGGCATCTACTCAGTATACTGTACTATACATGAGGCTGCTGTACTAACCGTTTACGGTAGTTATATAGGATTTTTGGTGGTTTTGGGCGGTTGAAGGCAGGTTGCTGAGGGCCAGGGGGCTCGTGTTCGGAGATTAATGCGGAGAATGCCGTTATTGCCTGTTTTGTTAGCAATCTTCTAACAAATTCAGCAACTATGCCATCTACGTTATTCTTTTGCCCATTATGATGTCCCAATTCCTATCCCAATCAACAACGCAGTCAACAATAGAGGCTCTTCAACTGCAGAAGAATTAGTTACGTAACAACACTGTTACTAGTAAGCTAACTAAGCTTACAGAGTACATTAAAACAGTAAGATCAACAACAGTAGATCTCACAAGGGGTATCACAACCTCCTAATTGGGTATAGTCTTTAGCTTCAGCGCAATAACTTCATAATACTTCAATATACTTCAGTTACTGTATCCTAACCGTACACTGACGTCATCTCCTCCGTACAGTTAGTTAGTAACAGCCTCCTCTTCCGTAACTGTACTATACAGCCTCCAAAAGGCTCCGTAACTAACGGTTGGACACACTGCTTTGGTTAAGCGGCTGCTGGAGACGGGCAAAGCCGACTTAACCGGGAAGGATAGGTTAAGCCGAACACCACTAGCGTGGGCCATCGCGAAAAAGCACGAGGGAGTGGTGAAGCTACTACAGTCCTATAATTCTTCATAGTTGGTTCTTCGAACGAACAGACTTATCCCAACCTTATCCCATCCACGCTATTGGCTAGTCTCCGATACTACACAACTCTATTGGTCGCAGATTTTAAATGATCATTTGGGCTGACTTTGATGGGATGAGGAATTATCCTTGCTTGAAGAAATGCAGTCTTCAAACTAGAGTCAAGCACAATTATGCGAATGTTTCGAGGTAGACTGAGTCAGCACCATTCTCTAACCTCTCCTACAGTTAGCAAACGAATTTTCGCCTTTCCCATGAGGGTCAGCCCCCCCTTCTAACCAAATCCCGGGCGGTAAGTTGTTCTGGCCCTCCCACCTCCCTTAATGTGCCACCTCAAAGTGTCGAAACCATATGTAGGATATACCGACGGGTCTTATGTAGCGAAGGGAGCTATGGATGCGCAACAGACGTCTCAATAGACGTTGGAGACTACCATGAAGAGCACCAAGCACTAAGAGACTACTACTACTGTCTATAATGCGGGCCATCAAGTATCCTGTTAGAATCAACGTCGAAATAGGCAAGGGCTATGACAACTTTAAGTGTGGCCTGATGATGAGCTAATACCCCTTATCGACCATGTCAATGTTGCCTGTGGGTTCCACGTTGGGTGTGTACTGAATTGCTATAGCAAGCTTTCTTCTTCAACGCAGAACTGACAGCTGCAGTGACCTGTTGATTATGCAGCAGACTGTCCTGACCTGCAAAAAAATAACATCGCCGTCAGAGCACATGCTGGCCTACCGGATATATAAGGTTTCAGCCAACGCGAGATCAAGATGACACCTGAAGAATTAACCGCCGCAGTTCGGTACCAGGTTGGGGATCTGGAGGCATTCTGGGACACTGAGGGTATGCCGCTACACCACGTTAAGCATCACAGAACACTATACATCATGATGTACAGAAACAAGAATATTTGCAGGGCTGTATATCAGGGTGTGCCGAAGGGGTCGAGAGTATTTGGACTCGCTGGGACTGTTTAAGAGGAAGTTGCGAAGGAGTTAGGCTTGCCTTTCACGGCGGAGATCTACAGCGATGTGAAGTATAACGCTGACAAGACCCTGGTTATTGACCGGCAGAAGAAGTGAGCTTCCTGAATATACATAAGAGAGAAGCGGTTAATCCATTGCTGCAGGCTATGGCAACCAAACGATATAAAGAAGCACGTGCGAGCCCAGATCGAGAATGCGTCCGTCACTGCCGTCACTGGTGAAGAGTTTCAGCTACCACTAGGCGATTATCCTATCTCGCTTTGTTGCCATTCCGACTCCCCCGGTGCAGTAGCAATCGTCACAGCAGCACGGGAGATTGTCGATGAATTCAACACCAAGTACTTCCTAAAATCGTAAAAGCTAGCGTTTTCACCCCACTTCACTTCCTATACCTTCCTTTCTATGCACTTGTGCACAAAAGCACTCCCGCCTTTTCTCAAAACCAGGTCGCATTAGTGGCCCCTGCTTGAAAGTTCCTTATATTCAGAGCGGACTTGGTCTTATTCACTTCTCCTTTACTACTCACGCTTTCTCGACAGCGTAGGCAGATTCGTCCATTCTCCTCTCTTGTCCCGAGTCTCATCGTTTACACAACCACTCTCTTCTGGCTTTTCATTTGACTCGGCCTTGAATCGCTGAATACTGCTGCGCTTGTGTTCTGGTTTTCGAGCTCCTGTTGCTCACTAATCTCCATATTTCAGGGCGAGGAGCCAGGAGCGGACTAGAGCGCTGGAAACTGGATTCGAAGGTAGATATGTTTCCACCCTAAATTGGAAAATCACGTCCAATGATATTGGAGCGCTTGCAGCTGCCCAATCCCCCAGAGGAGGACTTCGATCAACATCTCCCATAAACATCGCAATAGCATTGCGTCAGCTCGGGGCAACTACACTTGTCAGCTTCTAGATCCTGGCTCACAACACTCAAAACTCACTACACAGGATCCTGCCCGAATATAACATGCCAAAGATACTCAAAAACCCTTCCACTCGTATCGTCATCCAATTCAGTCCTTATCAGCCAATCCAAATATCTCTGATAATCCTCTATTGGCCTTTTCAAAACCTGCTCTCTCGATACCGCAAACTGGCTACAACAAGGCGTAGCTAGAATATTTGGCACATCTTCATTCCCAAATAACTCTCGCCACGCCTTTGGCATTGCAGCCTCGATCGTCCGATGGGTTTCTGGCGGGTCACGGAACGATTGCACCTCTGCCGGACACCCTGGATCCCAAATACAGCGTAGGTTCGCATATCCATTGCGCTGAATGAAGTTGATGTTTAGAGACCGCAAGGCTTCGACGTTGTCGTGGTTGACTGCATCGGTGTGCCAGGCGCGAGGGAATCCGTCGCGGTGAGCGTGGAGGAATACGATGGTTGATGGGAGAGTATCGTAGTTGGTCACGAGGTAGGTTAGGTAGGGGTTTGCTTCGTTGCCTTTATTGATGGAGGTGTGGAGGGAGGTGTTGGTGGAGTCGACGGTGTAGATGGCATTTTGCCAGTCGGGAAGTTGCGAGGATACCCAGGATGTGTCTTCAATTGCGATCTTGCCCATCACGACGATGCGATCTGGGAGGGGAGAGGTCGAGTCTTTATGAGTGGGTGTTGGTTCGAAGTTCCTGGAGACTTCGTCAATTGTATATCCTCCAATCACTTTCTGCGTAACCCTACTCTGCTGTGGTCGCGGATACCTCCGTCATCGTTGGCAGAACTTCGCCTGATACCTCAACCGCCTCGCTAGCATCCCCATCTTTTACGACTCGATATTGTGGAGGCTCCTCAGCCTCGTAATGAGAAGGCCGTCCGACTTTTGTCGAGTACGCCTGCGTACTAAAGTAATTGAATTGGAGTCTGAAAAGAAAGAACGCCGTGACGATAAATGCGGCAACAGCCGCCCATTCCATTTGCCTCCGGGTCCGCATAATTCAGAACAGCTGCTGGATGTGGACTTAACGATGGAGCGACTTTAGAGACGAAAATCGACATGGGTGATTGTCCCTCTATGGCTGATATATAGATTTCTCGCCCATGTCTACGCAGCTGCACACTTGTACCCGGCTTCAACCAGCATGAAACAAGTGCGGCATAGCGTCTATTTTCAGAACGCCGCACTTCTCTCTCAGTGGCTATCCGAACTTCAAGACATGAAAGGGTGCGGCGTAGTCGCTAAGCGCCTCACCACCGCGGCGCTTGCTTTACCAGTAGCCAACCATGTCGACCGCCAAGAGCCTCATCATGCCTTCATTTTTTAATCTGCACACCTTCACAGGTGTTTTGGCCACACTCCCTGGAAATCATTTCGGGGCTACCACACACGAGTTCGGATGACTGCACTGGCGTCCACATCATCCAGACGACCTCTTAGATTCATCAGTCATCGCAACCGCTAGCTTGTTTGAACTTTAGGGGAATGTAGTATACGTACTTTCTGGGGCCATTAGAGAGTGATCGGTGCAGGCAGCGAAATTTGATACTGAAAAGCCATTACCTCTGCCCCTTTGTACTTGCCGCCCGCGTTATCGCGTCGTATGATAGACATGTACTGATAGAGCGCTTCAAGAGTGCTACGCCGCACTTGCTCGCCATCGTGTTCGTTTAATGTTTACTCCAACCTCTCCTCCGTCCACACTGCCCTCCTCCCTGTCCTCCTCCAAGATGCATGCGATGATATTCTAGTCAGACTGCATCTGAAGGTTTCTGCCTTAGTATTCTTCTTTTTGCCTTTTCCGACTTTAATGCCTACGCCATGTATCCCAATCTCATACTTACACGCTGCTTGCTACTCTGGACCTTTACCTCATCCACAGTAGCAGCTTGTCTCCAAAAGCCCCTCTCTTTTGCCATTCAAGATTTGGAGCTCGCAAACAAAGCGAACGTCAGGGGTATATCGTTAGGTATAGGGTCGCCGCTTCAGAACATCTCCATACTCGCTAGCGCGTAAGTAACGCTCTCTGCTATTTCTAACAGTCTTTCCGGGGACTTACGTAAACTTAGCGATTATAATGAAACTTACATCTATGGACCCAATGGCTATTGCGAGTCGGGCTTCTCAACAACTGCCTGCATGACCTTCCGCGGAGGGGCATACAGCCTGGACAATTCTTCCACCAAAATTACTGCCACAACTAGATTTCAGAGCGACAGAATCGATGCGCAATGGATGAAAGATACATGTCATCTCCAATCCAATATATCGCTGGAAAATTTCGCATTCGGAATTCCCAACAAAGACCTCAATCAAGCCTACGTCAGTCAAGCTCAGTTAGGTCTCGGTCGCAACTCCTCCCTCCTCAATACTCTAAAGAAGGCCGAGCGCATTAGCTCTCGAGCCTATTCCATCTTCTGGGGTCTGGCGAGCGGCCCAGTAAACCAGCAAACGCCGGGTTCTCTCATTCTTGGCGGCTTCGACCAATCCCTCGCAGGAAACGGAGAGAACTTTACAGCGGCTCTGAACTACAAGTCAAATTGTTCCACCGGTATGCTCGTTACAATCAACGACATGTCCCTAAATTGGCCTAACGGATCGGATATGAGTATTTTCATGGGCTCCCAGAGTTCTGTAATTCAAGCGTGCATTGCACCACATTTCGCGGGGCTGATGACGATGCCGTTCGATTATTGGAACAATATGAGAGCCTTAATAGGAGGCACATATCTAGGTGATGCAATGAGGAGTAAAGGGTTTAATTTTTTCACGGTACTGTTTGAACCTGATGGCGTGTATGTTATATCTCTCCATTTCGTTCCCTACATCAGCCTTCGCTCGCTAATAAACCAAATAACAGCTACTACGGCGACCTCACGATCTCCCTCCAAAACGGTATCTCAATCCGCATCCCTAATACGCAACTCGTCGTCCCGGAACCCCTTATCAACCAGACAACAGGTGCGGTCGTGCAAAACACATCTGTTCGCAACATCCCCATCAACCCTATCCAGAATATCAATGAAAACGATCTCCCGGTTATCGGTCGCCTGTTCTTTAGTAGCGCGATGGTGCTTGTGAATCATGATAGTCAGGAATTTACGCTCTGGCAGGCGGATGGAAAAGGGGGTGGAGAGAGGGCGCAGCTGAGGGTCGTTGATGAAAGTGGTGGTATTGGAGATGTTTTCTGTTATGGGAATGGGAGTTTAAATGGGAACTCTACGGGTATGCCGAGTTCGATGGTGCCTAGTGCAACCTCTGCACCGGCTTTGGTTTCGCATTCCACGGCGCGTTTGTCAGGTGGTGCGGTTGGAGGTATCGTTATCGGTGTTATTGTTGCCTTGGCGGTTATCAGTGGAATTTGTTTCTTCCTCTTCCGAAAGAGGCAGAGGCACAGAGCAGAAGCGGAGGGAAAGCATACTGAAGCGGCAACTATAGAGGGCATGAAGCCACCTACACCGCCCTATCACAGCCATCCGAATTTTCGACATCATCCAGCGGAGATGCCGACGGGAGATGATGAAAAGGTGGAGCTGGAACAGAGGGTGACGGAATTGGTTGATCCGGTCGAGTTGGACTCGTGGGAGTTGCGGAGGTAGCTTGGAGGACTGGACCTTGCTTAAGATGTTACGCTCTTGTTTTATTATTACTCTAGTTATTTACTCTTCAGAAGGAAGAACAGACTATGCATATTAGCTCCGAAATCTAGTTGTTACAGCGGACTGTTAGCTGGTGAAGGGAAAAAACCAATCACTAATTGCTTAGAAGCATTTTAGGTATAAAACACTATAGTATTTTACTAGGCAAAACATACTATAACGCATTTATATAATGTTTTTTAGAGATTTAAGGAGTAAAGGGTTATTTTATGTACCTGTGTAACTGCCTTTTATCGCAACTGCCTTTACTATAGCGTTGTACAATAATTGTAGATACTTACTGCCACCACTACTTTTCTACATCTACTACTACTACAGTAGTAGCAGTAATAACAACAGTAACAATAGTAAGAATAGTAGTAATAGTAATAGCAGCAGCAGCAGTAGTAGTAGTAATAATAATAAAACTACTACAACAGTTTATAAATAATCTGTAAAAGCAAAGCTTGCTTAGAGCAATAGTTAGTACATTAAGGTAGGTTATTTAGGTTAAAGAATAGTTGTAGCATAATGCTTAGCAAATTAGTATCAGACAGGTAATAGACATATAATAACAATATTTAACTATAGCATATAACTAATTACAGCCTGTAACTAAGCGTAGCTAATACTAATCTCTAACACACTAATATAGCTAATGCTAATCTCTAACACACTAATATAGCTAATGCTAATCCCTAACACACTAATATAACTAAAAAAGAAGAATAAACATAACTAACTATAATTTAAATATGTTTTATATAACATATACTAGAGTAAACTACGTGTAAATTAATATAAAAATGTATGTATATTAAGTATACATTATTTTAAAAAAAATTATAAGAAATATATAAAGTAATAAAAAATAGTGTTACTAAAGTTTATTTAAAAATATTATAACTAACTAGTGTGTTTTAAAAAAAAGATTTTATTTAACTTTATATTTTATAAATTTAAATATATTAAGTATAGTAAGTGTTACTAATAACTTACTTTATTTTTAGTAATACTATAAAGATAGTAAAATTATTACTATTTATTTACTTTTTTACTTATTACACTTTTTATAGCTATTTAATATAAGTTGTTTTACATTTTTAAAAAAGTATATAGGCGCTAACCTAAAAACCTTATACATAATTAAATTACTTATTATAAAGTAAGCTTATAAGTAAAGTAATACTTAAAAGTAAATAATAGCTAGCTAATTTTTAGCTTTAATTAAGTTAGTAAAATTAATTTTTTAAAAACTAAAGGTTTATGTCCGTACGCAGCAGCAGCGTCGCGGCCTGGATACAAGCGATCGCGCACGAGCAGGATTACGTATCTATGTCACATGATGCTTGTGCGCGAACCTCTATGCGCAAATATCTAGATATCCCTTTTTTCCTCTATACAGAGGAAAGACAAGAGCAATAGAACTAGAAACATATTACCTTTACCTTACCTACCTTATACACTATGCACACTATATACTACTCTTACTTTTGCTACTTAAGTGCTTATACTATAAGCAGCTAGCTATTAGAGCCTATTTAATACTAATTAGTAGTTAATTTAATTAACTATAAATTAGTAAAAGTAATAATAAAGTACTTATACTTTATAAAGTACTTTATTTTATTACTTATTTCTTAGAAAGAGTAATAATAAAGCACTTACACTTTATAAAGTACTTTATTTAGTTACTTATCTTTTAAAATAGTAAATTAATCTTTTACATTATACAGTAAGCTCTGCTACTATATAAAGTAAAAAAAAGATAGTGTAAGATGCACACTAAAGCTATTAAAGCTACATAACTTAGTAGCTAGATAATAGTAGATTAATTCTTTATATTATACAGTAAGCTCTGCTACTGTATAAAGTAAAAAGAAGATAGTGTAAGGCGCACACTAAAGCTATTAAAGCTGCACAACCTAGCAGCTAGATAATAGCAGTACCTGCGTAATCTACTAGAAAAGTAATTAACTATACTATTATAATAAAATTCTACTAGTAACTAACAACTTTATATAATAATAAAAAGAATAAGAAATAATTCTTATTATATAAATAACTTATAAAAAACATAAGAATATTAAAAGTAACACTATAAAATAAGACTAGCCTAGAGTACTAAAATAATAAAATTAACATATTAAAAGCTTTAATAAGCTTATA